TCTTAAAATAATATTGAAACTTATAATTTAACTTTATTTTTTCAAGAAAGTTGGAATCTGATCTTTAATTAACATAATAAAATTAAAATATTTTATATTATGCCGATATATATCACTAAATTAATGATGAAATGCACTCACTCTCCAATTGTACGGTAGTTATTTTTGACCGCTTTATGGCTGGTTGCGTTGTAAACAAACTCAGAATATTTTTTTAAAGCTATAATCACTGCGCAATTAATTGCGTAATTTTTTATTATGATGATTAAATGCCATATTTTTTTATTTTAATACTTTAAGAAAAAAAAAAACCTTGTAAAATATTAATTAATTAACTTGTTTATACATCGGTCAACTAATTGGTGACCGGTCAACATCTGGTGCATTTACCCTATTATAAAAATCTAGAAAATTATTAAGTGTCTAAATATGTAGAATTTTTATCATAAATTAATTTTGATAAAAAAATATTTTTTTCAATTTTAACATAATTTATTTTTAAAAAAAAATAATTTAAAAATTTTTAAATAATTATAATTTAATTGTTATAAGAAATAAAAATATTGTCAAGTCTGTCAATTTCAGTGTCACGTTTTTTTTTTTTTATCATTCTTAAAATGTGATGATACTGAAATCAGCAGACATTTAAAATGATACTAATGTTTGCTGACATAATGATTTCTAGGATTTTTTTCAACAAATAAATTATTATAATAAAAATTTCATAAAAAAATCCGCTTGTATGTGTCAAAAAATTATTGTTGTAATTCTTTTAAAAATGTTTTCTTCGTAGTAATTTATGTTTGTTAACTTTAGTTTCATGATATTTAATGAAACTGAAATTAGCAAACGCTTGATAATTTTTAAAAAAATAAATTAGGTCTAGAAAATGATTTTTTAAAAATTCCATTTATTTTTTATGAATAAGTAATGTAATAATGAATATAAAAAAGCGCATAGCTCCTAAAGTATTGAATTTAAGAAAAAATTTCAAGAGATTAAAATTGTAGCTTAGAAAATTTCCTACAAAAAATGTTTTGATACTATAGGTCTATCTTCAATATTTTAGAAGTTATGATAATTTTAATAGTGCTAACATAGTTAAAAATTATAACTTGTTATAACCATTATTAACAAAAAAATAATTTATCTGTTTCAGTTTGGCTGTATATTTTTTTCATCAAAGCCCAACAGTCAACTACCACAACCGCAACTCACAACAAAAAACAATAAAGTATGCACCCTTCACTATGCAGCAGAACGGCAGATGTACATAGGATTTTTTCTAAATGACACTACAAATTTTCTGAACCGAATGCACGAAATAATCCAGTACCAGAAAGGCATCGAGACATTTTTTAAACCAGGCAAAATCACTGTTCCTAATCCAGTAGTTTCTTCATTCTACAAGGACTTCATAGTGGAGGAGTACAAGGGTGAGCTGATCCAGCAGTTGCAAAGCATCCCCAGGATAAAAGAGGAGCGTAAGGAGCGCGCAAAAATGTGCCACGAGAACAGCCAATCTAAGAAAGTCCGGGAACGCAAGAAGTTCCTCGAAAAACAGAAGATTAGACAGCAGAAGCAGCTGGAACTGGAACAGGAACAAGAGGCTGAGAAGAAGCTGGATGAGATGATGAAGTTCCAGAATGAAATCTTGGAACAGATGCCCAGGAAAATTGGAAAGAAGGTCAAAATTGAAGGAACCAAAATTGAGGAAGTCCAGCAAATTTTTGGGCCGAAAGGCGAGAGGCTGGAGGAAGCCGTTCTGCAGAGTGAGATGGACCAGTTGAAGGTTCTGGTAAGACAGCGGTTGAATGATAAGCAGAAAGTTGTAAAAGTTTTGCAGAATGTTGGACTGAAGCACTTGGAGGAGAAGGTGGAGAAAAGTCTGAGAAAAATTGCTGTACAGCATCAATTGAAGGTTGAGGAACACCAAAATTCTACGGAACAGCGGAAGGAACAGCTAAGAGCGGAACAGAGTTCTGTGGAACATTTGGAACGATCTTTAAAGAAGGAAGTGTCTGCTGTGAAACAATCGGAATTTGTTAGGGAACTGCAGAACAATCAAGTTCTGGAAGTGGAACAACAAAGTACTAGTAAACAGCTAGATATAGTGGAGAAACAATGTTCTGAGGAACAATTGGAACAACAAAGTTCCATTGAATTGAAACAACAAAATACTGTTTTGGTAAATGAGATAACATTTATAGAACAAGTGGAACAACAATGTTCCATGGAACAGATGGAACAACAATGTTCCACAGAACAAGTGGAACAACAATGTTCCACAGAACAAGTAGAACAACATCGTTCCATGGAACATGTGGGACAACAATGTTTTACAGAACAAGTGGAACAACAATGTTCTGCAGAACAAGTGGAACAAAAAAGTTCCATAGAACATGTGGAACAACAAAGTTCCATGGAACAAGTGGAACAAAGTTCCATTGTTTTAGAAAATGAGCAAAAATTTGTAAAACAAGTGGAACAACAAAATTCTACGGAACAAAAGGAACAACAAAGTTCTACAGAACACAAAAAAATAACTGCTGTATTGTTACAGCCCCAGAATTTTATAACCCAACAAAAATTAGTGGAACAACAAAGTGACCCAGAACTCCAAAAGTTTGTCAAACAAAATTCGATGGAACTTCTAGAACTCGAAAACAATTGTTCCGAGAACTTGAAACAAAGTTCCAGTGACGAGTCAAAATCCAAAGACAAAACAAAGAAGCAAAAGACCGACAAGGTTGTGATTCTTCAGGAACATAAAAAGCAAATGGAGCCTGAGAGGAAAAAAGAAGATAAAAAGTCGAAGAAGCAGCAACAGCAGCAGAAACTCAAGGAACAGAAGAACTTGCTGAAGACAATAAACCACCAGCACAATCATCTTCACCACCATCATCACGTGGCTTCGCTGAGTGGTTCTGGAATTGTTGCAAAGAAGATTGAAAAGACGATTCCGTTGTTGGTCACTCAGAAGCACTCGATTCTCTGGCAAGGACTCCTGGAGTGGCACGAGAAAATCAAGTGCCCTCCTGGAGAGAACAACAAGCAGATCAGGTTCAATGTTCTCTGTCAGATGCTCTCTCACACCAGCGCCACCAATGCGGAACTCAAAATGAATTTATGGCCGCCTAAACTGATCATGCAGCTGATTCCCTTGCAGCTGATCAAGAGCATCGACAAGAACTACTTCCTTAAGACCAAACATATTTTTTGTAATCTTATTTCTTGCACTACTTTGGATTCTCTTGTTAATTCTATGAAGACTGGAAAGGTTAGTGGAAATTTATTGTTATTTTAAGAAATTATTTTGCTATAAAATTTTTTTATTCTGAGCTGAAAAATAAAAAAAATGTAGGTATCAAATTATATAATTTAATGGCTCTAAAAGTGAAAATAAAAAATATTAATTACATTTTTATTATTAAACTACAAAAATTAATATTAAATACAGCTATCAAGCTACTTAGGCGCGAAATTTCAAAAGTTTTAAATATATTTCATTACAATTTTTTAAAATAAGTGAATTTTTTCTTGATCTGAACCACAAAAAATAGCTTCAAATACAGTGAAGAAAAAAAAAAGAGACCCACCTCGGATGTCATAAGGGCGTATAATAAAAATTCTGTTTTTTTTTCTAAGTCCAAAAAAAATTTTTCTATGAAAAAAATTTTTTTTTACATTTCTGCACATTTCATGAAAAAAATACGTCAATTCCCAAAAAAAAAAAAATTTTTTCGGGAATCAACGCATTTTTGTATGAAACGTGCAGAAATGCAAAAAAAAAACTTTTTCAAATAAAAATTTTGTTTGGACTTAAAAAAAATAATAGAATTTTTATAAAAATATATAAAAATTTTATACGCCCTTGTGGCATCTGTAAAGCGATATGTTATTTTGAAAAATGTAAAAAAAATTTTTTTCCAGATTGGATTGATTCTCTTCAAGTCAGACCAACAATCGACAACCAAATGTGATATTAGAGTTTTTCTTCTGCTGTACATCGAAGAGAAACGCGCATTTTTTGGATCTTTTCCCGAGGACCAGATTACTTTTGCTAATCATCTTAGGAAGTTGATTGAATATGAAATGAGAATTGAAGCTGTTATTAAACAGCGACATGTAAGTTCAGTTTTGAGAATTTTTTTCTTCTTAAACAATAACTTTAAATTTGCGCAGATATTAAAGTTACAAAAAAGTTACAATAAAAAAAAAACTATAATTTTTTTATTACAAATTTTTAAAATTTTTAATGAATTTTGCTCTAACGACTGAACTACTCAAGATTTAGGATTTAATTATAAACAATTAATATAATTTTATATAATGATTTTTAATAATTGATTTTTTTGCAGCAACGAGTAGAAAATTCAAACAAGCAACAAACAGTTGTCAATTTAACTGAGAAATTATCCCAACCTTCCGCTGCCAATTCTCATAATAATAATAACAATAATAATAATAATAATAATAATAATAATAATAATATAAGTAATAATAATAACAATTGTGCCAATGGAATTGTAAATTCTCAAAAAACCGAATTTGATAATTTAAAAAACGCGCGGCAGCAAAATTTAATAAGAATTCAATTGTTGAAAGAATTATTAGCAGAAGCTGAGCAGCAGGAAGTCCTCTATAAGTCACAAATAGAAATAAATGTACGTATAAATTTTTTAAATTAATTAACTAGCAACCTGCAGTCACTATGTGACTGCTATGACTTGTGTATAACTATAAAAAATTAAAATTTTGCTTTTTTAAATAATGAATTTTGTTAAATTGCACTGTACTTTCTTAAATATTGACGTTTTTAAAGATATAAGCTCATCCAGATGTTACACTCATTAAGAGCTTTCATTTGAGTACCCACATGCATTATTGATATATTTTTCATATATACATATATATAAATATATGAAAAATTGATGTAGGTACTCAAATGAAAGGTCTTG